CACAGCACCAGAACCACGAGGACTGCAGCCAGGCAAGAGATGTCCTGCCAGGGGTTCCCATGAGTACCATTGTAAGGCAACCAATTATATGATTACACGCAAGACAATTTCTCCTAGGCTAAAACTTAAAGATCACAGCTGCAATCACTGATATCAGGCAACTTGTAGCCGCATCCTTCCTTTTTAAACCATGGGCTGCCACTGCATCACAGTTTTTGTTTCTTTGGATCTTTCCTGGATAGTCAGAATGCCAGCAAAGTAATATCCTCAACATGTCCCAAAATATCTGCTTTTTTTTTTTTAAACATGTAGTGGATATTGAAAGGACTTGCATGTGAACAGGACGCTGACTGCTCATCTTTATGGTCTATGGTTGCCTATGCCTGTTTTCTCAATGCATCTGCCAAGTATCTCTGATCAACCAGATGGCAATGATGCGGATGATGATGATGAAGCTGATGTGGCCTTCCTCAAAAACAAAAGAACAGTTTGCCCTGGGGAAAGGCTGTTATGCATGTGCTGCACTGACACTTGCTTGCAAAAACTTCAACGTGCCAAGTAGCTCGTTCTTGTCCACCTGTTTCTCCAACCATGACATCCTTTGGGCCCAGTGGGAGCTCTCATTCTTAAAAGAAACCATCATCTTTCAACACCCTTGAGTGCTAGATTGTTCTGTCACTTGTGCCACCCAACCCCAAGAGAAGAAACTCTGCTTTGAGCTTGCGCTGGTCATGCAAGAGCCACTCATTCCTGAGCATTGAATTGAACCATATTGATACCTCTTTTGGTAGACAACTCAACATGGCCCAAGAATCTTCTTCTCAAGCTCAGCCTTCTCCCCCTGAAGCTGCGCAGCGCGAAGCCATGCCCCTGCCACATCCAACCTTGCCAGCTGATTGCATTTTATGCCAAAATGTGTTGGATTTTTCCCTTAGGTTTGGCCAAGATACTTTTCCAGGTCCCGCTTGTGTTGTTGGTCCTGCTGTTTCCTTAGTTCATGATTATGTTGGTTTTGTTTCTTAAACATGTTCCATCAAGTACAGTACCAAGCTTTAGTGTGCAAAACTATATTGCCAAGGAGCTCTTGTTCCTTCAGCAAACGTTTTGTCCTTGCTGCATGCACAAATGCATCACAACAGTTTATGGGACATCGTCAAACCGGATGTTGAATGCCACCCAGCTTCTCTCTGCGTGCTCTGCGGCCATGCTGGCTTGGATTGTTTTGCTTTGCATCAGGCATTTTTTGCAAGGTGGAAAAATGATTGTACTTCGTGTGTGTTGGCTGTTCCCTTTGATGCAAGTGTAACAGTGTAACCAGCATGTTCACAAGAGTGCAGTCCCGTTCTCATTTCTTAAACACCATTGCTGGAAAATACACCTTTGTGGCTTGTTTGCTTTTGATCATTGCTCCAAAACATGATGTCTCATAACTCAAGCCCGATTTTGTGCCATTCATTGTTGATGCAAATCTCCATGTACATTCCATCTCTGTCAAATGTTCAAATGTTGCACATTCAGAATGAAGCACAGTGGAGCATGCCAAGCTCTCATGAAGCAGGCTGCGTCTTGATTCCTCTGCTTCTCCAAGACCCGTCCGTGAAGAAGGCTGGGCCTTTGCACGTGAGAAAACCTCCATAAAGAAAAAGTGCCAAAAAGGAACCCCCCCCGGGGGGTGGGGGTTCCTTTTTTGCTGTTTTTGGCTTTTTGGGCAAGCCAACGGGAAAATTACAATCAAGTTCAGAATCGCATTTGGTTGTTTGGGTTCAGAATCACACGCCCCAAGAAGATCAAGCATGAATTTAATGGAAATTATGGCTATTGGACAGTGAGATCATTGTAAACCATCAATGATAAACAATTGCTATGGCCAAGAAAGGATGGTTGGAGAAGATGAGGGGTTTATATGGACTTATGGGGAATTATACCCACTGCATATGGTGATTTAAATGTGGGTGATGAGGCTTTACACCATTAAATTTATTGGTTTCACTTACAAGAACAGCCAAACCCAACTGAAGTAACAATTGGCCCACCAATCAATGGATGGTTTTGTTTAATCTCAAATTGTGTAAAGAAATGCAGTTATCATGACAAAGAAATCAAGGAACTACTTCATGTGGAATAATGGGCATTTTTCAGCAGAGTAGTGAGGTGACACAATCATATATTTTCCTCGTCGCCCCTGGCAATTGATATCTTAATCAAAACACTCCCATGATTTTGATGTATTTCCTTGCCATCCAGGAACCCATGCTGTTTTTTTGCATCCACCAACAATCCCATGCTCTACGTTTAAAATCCATGGCATCCAGGTTTGTTTATGTTCTCATTGGCTCATTCCCTGGCATATGGTGTTTTTTTAATGCTCCATATATGTAAAACATCCTCATGCAGTTCTCCCAAAAAGCTTAGACATGCCCATGTGGCCCTGATTTGGCTCCAAGCCTGCTGTCAAAGACACAGTGCTCTTCAACCATCAAGCAGGCATGCAGATATTTGGATAGATATATGATATATGATATATATATATATATATTTATGTATATATATATATGTATATGTATATATGTATATATGCATATATGCATATATGTATATATGTATTTATGTATATATGTACATCTTTTAAACCGCACAATGACATATACACATATATATATATATATCTTATACATGAAGAATGCATCTTTATATATATATAAATAAACAAATATATATATTATATACTTTGTACGAGTATACAAATCTAAATATGTATCCTCAAAGCCATGTCATACACACATGTGTATTTAAAAATATAAGATGTAGGTATGATTTTCGCATACATGTAGAAATATATAACACATGATTTTTAATATTTACTATATCACAATCACACATATACACACACACATATATATATATATACATACACATTTTCTCATATATATATATACACACATCGCAATGCCGTGGAGAGATTTGGCCGGACAAAGATGGGGCGGCAAGCAGATGCACGCTAGAGAAACTTGGCATAACCATGTTTTGGAAGTTTTCCCAACTTTTCTATTTTCCCAATCAATCTGATATTTCTGGGAGATTCCAAACAAACAATAACTTTGTTTTCCCCAACAGGTTTGATGCCTTACAATCTCAGGATGCGAGGCGCGCGGCTGAGCATCGTGCAGCAAAGGCAAAGGCTGTGGCTGAGGCAGAACCTGTGGCCAAGGCCAAGGCAGCTTCTTGGTTGAATTGGTTTGTCAAAATATGTGTTAAAAACACTGTGGTTCTTTTATTCAAACCCAAATTCAAGGCCCAATTTAACATCAGGGATCCATCCACAAACTTTTTTAAAGACATTTTGTGGCTTTTCTTCCAGGCTGAATCTACTGCTAGCTCCTCCACTTCGAGTCCCTCTTTAGTTGTACCTGTCACCTGTGCAGTGCTGAGTTTATTTGTACTTTTGTGTTTTTGATCTTTCTTTCTTGAGCCCCCCCCACTAAATTGTATGTTGTGGGGTGCATGCCACAATCCTAAATTGTATTTCCCTGGTTTCCAGGGTTTGTTTTTGATGTTCATGGACCATCCCATAGGTATTTTATATCATCAAATTATACACTTTAACTTGATAAGTGTATGTGTGTGTGCTGACTTTTTTATATTCACCTTGTTTTCTTATGGCCTAGTACATGGCATTTTGTTCAAGTGCTTGGTTCCTTTAAGTCTTTATGTTCAATAGTCTCACGCCTTCTCATAGCAAGCCTGAATTCTGAAATCCCCAAGGAACCATCGAGGCCATTGCCACCACCTCCACAACAACCACCACTACCTGCACATCCACCATCAAAACCACCAGGACCACAACCATCATTTGAACCACCAACACGACAACCAGCGGTGCCGCGACTACTACCAGCAACAACAACTACACAACACAACAACTACACTACACAACAGCTACACAACAACTACAGCTACAACTACAACAAACAACAACAACAACTACAACTACAACAACTACAATTACAACTACACAACAACTACAACTACAAAACAATTACAACTACAACTATATGACTGCAACTACACTACACTAATTACATTACACCACAACTACAACACAACTACAGTTGCAGTGCATCACACTACATCCAGCAGTTGTGGGTGAGGTGACCACTGCAACCATTGCAACCACTCCAGCAAACACAACTCCAACCACCTTTCGGTCAATCAGTGGATTCGCTCTGCCATCCGTGATTCACAACAACCAACGTCTCCTATAGGTTTCCTATTCTGAAACTTCCGCCACCGCCTTGTGCGGTACTACTGGTAATATTTAACATACAACATTCACAACACTTCGGCTTCAGTGCAAAAGCCAGACGGCTCTTTGTGATTGTGATGTCAGTTGAAAGTTAGTTGACAACAAGTTGCCCGTTGAAAGCAAACTAATTACTGTATCGCCTTGACGTGCCTTGACACTTTGGAATCAGATTGCTACATGAAATGGGCTTGGTGTCTCCCCGCTACTGTTTCAGGGTGCATCTCCAAACAGCCTCTGGATCATGCGCCAGTGCTTCAAATGTGGCACCAGTGCGAGTGTTGGTGAAGTCGCAGTATGGGACGCTCCTAAATCAAAGTGGATTTGGGTGCGAGATGGGATTGATCTATGGGAAGGATTCTGGAAAAGATGGCGGCGGTATCCTACAGCCGTGTGGGACCGACCAGGTAACAATATTGAAACCTGTGACATTTACTGCGGAAAGTGCTGGGAGGGTTTTGGACAGCATGTCAAACCATATTCCAAATATGCACTGAGTAAGGAATGTGAAGAGTTGGCTGTCCGAGCAGGCATCCTGTTCGTCGATCCTTCACACTCGTCACACACTGGCAATCCTTTTCTTTGTCCAACTTGCAAACAGTTTTTCAACGCTGGCGTGTGTTCGCTACAGAAACACTTAAAGGAGTCACATGGCGATCAACAACCCTCAGCTCGCAAGAGAAAGTTGGACGATGCTGCCATGCCCAAGGATTTTCTTGAACCTGTGCTCTATGTCCCGGGTTGCAGCAATAGCGAGACAGTTTCTAGCATATTGAAAGGGAAATATACGGCAGTGTCATGGCATCATGGCAAACCGCTCTACAAGAAGGAAGGTTTGCCCTCCGAAAAAGACAACGTGCCTGTCGTTCTTTACTTCTGGGATAGTAGGGATGGGGACAAGAATCACGGTTGGTGGTTTGGTCCTAAAGAAGGCGGTGAAAGAGTATGGGCATACAACTTCTTCAACCGGGATCATCAGACAGTGACAGTTCCCGCGTTTGGATGGAAAGTTCCACATGACGGTGTGTTGGACACAATGCTATGCATCACAACTAGGAGCCAAGCCACGGATAAACGCAATGACTCTACATTCGAGCTTCGATGGGAGTTTGTGGCCAGTGCAGATGGACAGGACGATTGGCAACCAATGAGCAAGGACATGAATGACGCGCTGGAAAAGCGTTGGGCAGACGGCTGGCGTGGTGACAACGGAACTGACACCTTCCATGTCCATTCAAACGGCTTCACCTATGGAATTGATTGTTACTGCATGGTGCAATGGAATGTGAGGACGCACCGCAGGCGGAATATCAGGAGAGGTGAGGTGAGACCCGATGTAAACACCATGCTGCCGAAACTGGCTGAGAAAGACGCCCAAGTGGAAAGTCTCCAGAGTGAACGGAACAGCCTTGCAGAGGATAATAAAGAATTGATCGCCAAGGTCAAACAGTTAGAGCGCCTTGGTGGCAAAGCTGTGGCATGCTTTTCTCATCGTTTCTCAATGTTTTGAAAATTTGGATTTCAGTTGAGCCTTTCTGAGAGTAGATCAGTTGAAGAGGACAGTGCTAGGACTAGGATGTAATACCGGCTTGTGGTTGCGTCCAAAGTTATGCTTAGCTCAGAAGCACCACTAACCACCAGTGTGGATATCATTCGGAGTTCGACACCTCAAACCTGACACCTGACGAGAGTTTTGCAACATCAAAAGCTATTCCATTACCCAAGCGACCATGCACTTCCATTGGCTGCACAAGGGGCCGCTGAAAAGTCATGCTTGCTGCCACTCCTTTGCATATCCTCCTCTTGCAACTTTGTTTTTTTGGATGCTTCTTTTGAAATCCTAGGACGGAGAAGAACGCTTTGGAGAAGTCACAGGCAGACCATGCCACCCAGATGATGCTGGAGGAAGCTTGGCGTATGAATTCGCAGTTGCAGACACAGACTTGCACTGAACTTCATCATTGGGACGCAGCCTTCTCCAACATCCAACAGGCTCTTGTGGAAGCATGCCCCGCAGATCACTACGGTGACTGCAGGCGGATGCTAAAGGTCAGCATCACTGGCCTCCAACAGATTCGTAATGTGGACCTTTGGAAGGCCTACGACTTCCAGAAGGAACGGGTGCGGAAAGAGTTGGAACGCCGTGATGGCGTTCCCACTGTGGCTAGCGCTCTACCATCACGAGTGTGCAAGTGGGCGCATTTGGATACAAAGCTTAACGAGATTCTGCTCATCCATGGAACCACAAAGGATAGGATCGACCAAATCGCAACGTTCGGATTCGACGAGCGCCTTGCGCGGGAAAGTGGGCTTTACGGCCAAGGAGTTTACTTCGCAGATCAGAGCTGCAAAAGCCTTCAGTACTCCGGCGCATGCTGGGGCAACACTGGTTGCTTCATCATTGCGCGTGTTTTGCTCGGGCACCCTTTTGATGCCCCTGGCCCGTTGAAGAGTCTGAAGGTGGAACCGCTGGTTGATCCAACCAACCCTTGCAAAGGCCGATGTCACTCCGTGATTGCTCACCCAGGGATTCCCACTGGTGGGCAGAAACAAGTGCACCGAGAGTTTGTCCTCTTCAACGGAACTCAAGCCTATCCAGAGATGATTGTCAACTTTAAGATTTCGTAGGCCCCCATTTGTGTAAAGCAGGTCGCAGAAAGAACTTGAACTAGCTACTTTAAATTGTGAAAGCTGTCGCCAAAGTTGCGATGTTAGGTCTGAGCACGGTCTCACCTAATCTGACAATTTTCGTGGCGAAAAAGGGTTGCTGGTCTAAGCCTTGGTTTCAATGCAACTGAGGGCAGCAGACCATGCGTGCCAAATGTGCCCAGCCAGCCTTCGAGAGATGCATGTCTGCCTCCCCTGGCAGGCTCACTCGGGACGCTGATGTTTGCGCTTGCCTCAGATAGTATCGTTTTCCACTTTGCTTCCAGGCTGCGCGTTTGTGAGTAAGAGAAAAGACGCGTCGCATGAGTGTTTGTTTACTGAAGTTTACTGAGGCAGGTCTCGTAAATTGAGGATATTTCGCCCCAAAGGATTCACCAAAGTCTTCGACAAACCAGTTCTTCGCGCTTCAAACTCTTCAAGCTTTCGACTGATAGGCCATGCCTTGGGCATCAACTTGAGCTATCACAGGGCCATTGCGGAGGCTGGCGGCCTGGTACCTTTTCCAAAAACCAAGCTGCTGCCCTTGTCTGTTTAGAGTTTAGAGTGGAGGTAAGTGGATTTTTCAGATGCTCAGCACATGGATTTTGTGTACAGTAAATTTGTTTGGTGCCAACTTGTGTCGGCCTCTTATATATCCAGACGGATTGCAATTAGCAATTGGCAACACTAGAATCGCGTGCTTGCGATGCTCGGCTGCCAGCCGCGCAGAACAAACCAGCAAACCCACGATGTGCATCATGTATTGAAGGCTCAATCGCGGTCAATGTGTTTGATGGGCCCAGCCAGCAATGATCAGTGATGAGGGTGTAGAACGGAAGCAGCAGGGGTTCCTTCAACAAAAGGCCAAAAAATTGGTGATAGCAGTGGAAAGAGTCTATGGTCTTGGCTTACATCATTCTTTCCATGATGAATCTGAAAATATCTGAAAGAAAAGATTTCTGCGCCTCTCCGCCTCCCATTAGCTTGTCGTGACAGGCCGTAGCATGCTGTCAAGCCCTGTGGCCTGTGACCATTTTCTTTCCAATTGATTGCCCGCGACCAAAACTGAACGTTTGCCAAAATCATGTGCGAAAGACGCCACGTGAGACCAACCCCAAACCATCTGAAACTTATGTACTGTAGCCGGATGCATGTGGGCCATGTGTTCGCTCAGCAATGTCTTGTGCTAGGCGAGGTGATTATGTGTATCGTTAACGGTTTGATGCAAATCTCGAAAAGTAGCATCAAGTACTGAGTACTGTACCTGAGTTTTCGTGCTTTTGCATATTTTTGGCAGAGGAGGGGGGGGAGGGCTCACAGGAGGTTTGTTTTTTCTGGAACATGAGGGGAGTCTTCATTCTGGGTGTTCAATTTTTGCAGTCTGTTCATGCACCTTGCTGCTCTCCATTGGGAGAGAATTGAAGAGGTTGTTGCATGCATTTGCATGCTGAATTTGGGCTTTTGCTCGATTTTGGCGGCGTTATTTTGCACATCACTGCCCTAGTCCACGCTATATAGTCCTCCTCCTCGTCCTCTTCATCTTCATCATCGCCAGCGACATCCTTGTCCTCATCCTGCTTCCTCATCCTCACAGTATCATCGCTGCCCATCACCATCACTCACCACCATGACCATGACAATGACCATGACGCTCATGATGACCATGACATCATGACGATGACAATCATCATCATCATCATCATCACCCATCATCACCCATCATCATCCATCATCATCCATCATCATCATCCATCATCATCATCCATCATCATCATCCATCATCATCATCCATCATCATCCATCATCATCATCCATCATCATCCATCATCATCCATCATCATCATCATCATCATCATCATCATCATCATCATCATCATCATCCATCATCATCATCATCATCATCATCATCATCATCATCATCATCATCATCATCATCATCATCATCCATCATCATCCATCATCATCATCATCATCCATCATCATCATCCATCATCATCATCATCATCATCATCCTCATCCTCATCCTCATCATCATCATCATCATCATCATCATCCTCATCCTCAACATTGCTTTTGTATTTTGCTTGAGTGTCGTTCACATCCACTAGCTGCCATGAATGGCGCACCTAAATTCAAGAAACATGCGATGGGTTGATCCTGACAGGAACCAATCGAAGAACACATGTACTCTTCACTCTCTCTTGCTTTATCTACTATCAGAGCCACATACTTTCGCCCCCCCCACCTCAAATTCATCTTAAAGTCATGTCGAAAAATGAGGTGCTGCAGTTGTTTCTTCGTCAGCAGACCTCGAAAATGACACTTCGTCAACATCTCCCAACACAGAGGAGGATTGCAATTTCTTTAGGCCAGGAACCTGGAGATTTTTCTTTCTCTCCGGCGAAGGTGCCGTTCCATTTTGACGACCTGGACTCTTTCTTCACTGCTTTGCTTGGCCGAAGGTTATTTTCTTGCCCTTGAATCTTTCAGTGCACCATGTTCCTCTTCGCTGGTTTCTTTCATTCGGAAATATGCCCCTACTCCTCAGTCAGGTGCACGCTGAGCGGCAGGCCCATGGGCAAAAGTGACTGGAAATTCCTGCCTCCGGAGATTGTTACTTGAAAAAGTTACATGGACATGTCTCAGCTTCAAGGAGCAACTTTAAACATGGTTTTGCTTGATTCCGTAGGATGAAATTGAGCCCCAACTTCTTCAAAGTAAGCTTCCTCCAGGGCTAGGAGCCCGTTTTTGTTTCAACAATGGGCAAAAGATTGGCAAAAGGCAATGCCCTGTTAAAGTTGTGCGTGGCACGCAAGCATCCAGATAGCAAAGCTGGACTTTGACTAAGACTCTTAGAGTCTTAGACGTTGATTTCTTGTCAGATCAGCAACCGCTGCTAGTGTTGTGATCTTCCATGCTTGGGTAGCTGATGGTAGCTGAATCCAAGCCAAACTGTGGTTTGATCTTCCGCCCCGTGGAAGTGGATTGGTGCGGGCAGACCATGGCACAGTGTTCATCGCCATGTTGCACCAGGTGCGGTGGGTACAGCTTGCAGAGTGGCCGTTCCACGGTTCCCTTTGCCAGGGCCCAAGAAATTCCTTTGCTTGGATAAAATTTTCCAAAAAAACCCAGCACGCAGAGAATGTGATCGTCATTTTGTTGCTGCGGTGGTTGCAATTCATTCATCAATCATCATCAATCTATTTTTGACTTGAAAAGTTCTGGATGAAAAATCCATTCAGTCAGGAGTCAGGCTGGGAAGCTTTGCATCGGCGTTCCCGTTCTTCAGTCCGTTCGGCTGTCACCGATTCTTTCCTTTCAATTTTGAATGACTTCTGGTGCGCCAAGAGATGCCGGCTCACATCCGCTCACAGGCAGTCATGTCATGACATGGAAATCCGCTTATGCCAAGAATTGTAGTTGCACCGTGCCAAAGCAAAAGCGGAAAAAGACATTATGCACCATCAGACCAGCAGATGCAGGATACAGGAGAATTCTGTGCCACATTTGTGACTGAAACATACCGAAACTGTGGCAATCTTTAACCAAGAAAGTTGTGCCGGCATGAGAGCAACCATTTTCAGCAGGATCGCAAGTGTTAGAGCCAAACTACCGGAGTAAACCACAGCCACAAGCTTTTTCTTCATCATTGTTTGATATTTTTTGTCAGGACCAGAGTCCAGAGAGCCACGTGCTGCCATGCCCTAATGTTTCAAGACACGAAGCAGAACGAGTTCACGGCACCTGTGCTTCATGTGCCAGATTGTAGCAACGATATCCTAAGAGGACGATACACTGCAAAAGGCTGGCATCACGGCAAACCACTCTACCAGAAAGAAGCAGCTGACAATCGGGGTCCCGTTGTTCTGTATTTTTGGGACAGTCGTGATGGCGACACACATCATGGTTGGTGGTTCTCTCCAAAAGAGGGGAGTGCCCAAGTGTGGGCGTACAACTCCTTCAACCGCAGCCCTGATGACCTCAGAGTGCCTCCAGTTGGGTGGAGGGTCCCATGGGATGGGCGCGTCGATTCGGCGCTGCAAATACGCACGGCATGTCAAGACGTGGTTGATGCTAGCGACCATGGCTTCGAACTTTGCTGGGAATTTGTGGCCAGCTCAGGTGGAGGAGAAGAAGATTGGCAGCCAATGAGCAATGCAATGAATGATGCGTTGGAAAAGCGTTGGAACAGTGGCTGGCTTGGAGACAATGGGGCTGATACCTTTTATGTCCGCGATGGCCACTTCACCTACGGCGTTGATTGCAAGTGTATGATGCAGTGGAATGTGAGAACCGGCCGAAGGCGTTGGATCAGGAGAGGCCAGGTCAGGCCAGAAGCAATGGCTGTGCTACCCAAGCTGACCGAGAAAGATGCCCAAGTAGACCGGCTGCAGAATGAAAGGAACAGCCTTGCAGAGGAGAGGGACGAGTTAATAGCAAAAGTGGAGCGGTTGGAGCATCTTGGCCGCAAGTCAAAAACATATTATCCCCTTCTTTTACAGTGGGGAAATGGCTAGGACTAGGATGCGTCGGGTGGAAATGGAAGGATGCATTACAAGAGGTCTGAAAGGCAGTTAGCAAGGCAGTCTGATCCTGCCTTTTTCCTCTGCAGTTTATATTCCTTAGACTGCTTTGCTTGATGCTTTTGCAGACCCCTCAGGCGTCAGAAAAAGACATTGCAGAGGTCATTGGATGACAGAGACAGTCTCGCTGCGGAAAGAAACGGGTTGCTGGAGGCCGTGGTGAAGTTGAAGTTTCGCGGTGGCAAGTGGTTTTAAAAAGTTTATAAACTCAAGATGGCTGTACTACTGTGGTTTTGCTAATCATGTGAGTCATGCGTTGGCAAGAAATGCAGAACATTTCGAACGATCGATCAACATATGCTGTTAGTTTTTCTAGCAAGTTTATGGTTTGATAGACTTTCCTTGCATCCAAGGCTGGAAAAACATTTTTTGGCACAGTCACAGGCAGACCATGCTGGCCAGATGGTGCTGCAGGAAGCTTGGCGGATGAGTCGCCAACTGCAGACACAGATTTGCACCGAATTGAGTCCTTGGGATGCAGCTTTCCCCAACATCCAGCAAGTTCTCATTGAAGCATGCCCTGGCGATCACTATGGAGCATGCAGGCGCATGTGGAATGTCAGCGTCACTGGCCTGCGGCAGATTTGCAATATTCGCATTTGGAAGGATTATGAATTTCGAAGGGAGCAAGTCCGCAAAGAGCTGGAAAGTCGTGACGGAAACAGCGTTCCTAGCGTGCAAAGCGCCCTGCCATCACACATGTGCAATTGGGCACATCTGGATGCGAAAATCAATGAAGTCTTGCTCATCCATGGCACAACGTCAGACAAAGTTGAGCAAATTGCGAACTTCGGATTCGATGAACGCCTTGCGCGTGAAAATGGGCTTTACGGTCAAGGAGTCTACTTCACAGACCAAAGCTGCAAGAGCTTCCAATATTCTGGGGCAAAGTGGCAAAACTCCGGTTGTTTGATTATTGCTCGGGTGATCCTTGGGCATCCGTGTGAAGCTCAAGGTCCCCTGAGGAACCTGAAGGTGGAACCGCTGGTTGATGACAACAGTCCATCGAAAGGCCGCTGTCACTCTGTGATCGCCAGACCTGGGATTCCACAAGGCTCGGGCAAACAAGTGCACCGAGAATTCGTCCTCTTCAACGGAACTCAAGCCTATCCGGAGATGATTGTTCATTTCAAGACTTCTTGAGACCCCTGAGGCCTTACGGACATTTACAGACAAGAGTTTTACGACAGAGAGGGAACGTAACGAAGCGATCGCCAAAGTCACGGTTGTGATTGCGACGCTGGTTGTTCATGTTGAAAAGCGCGGAAAAGCGTTTGCAACTTATTGAAGCCGCATGATTTGCAATTTGGTGGGGTCCTGCACGTTGCGGCAATGACAAAGTGTCATTACAATTGCTGGTATTTTTTTGCAGCTTTCAGATGTTATCAATGTGTCTTTATTGCTGCAGGGCCAAGTGGTCGCACCTTTCCTGAACGATGCTCAGCTTTCATTTTTGCCAGGGATGTATTTATTTCAGTGTAGTTCCCAGCCGTGCGCATCTATAGTCCACATGTCGCATGCCCCAAAGTATCGGTGATCAACAATTGTTTCTACGCAACTAATGCAGTATGCATCTCCAGAACTCTTGAGCCTTTTCTGGTTGCCAAAGTCAACTGAGACTGCCTACATATTTGCACGAACAAACTTCACCACAATCTGGAGGATGTTTTTGTTTTCTCGCCTTGCATGTTAAGCTCCAACTGGAAGTAATTTCCCAAGAGCAGTTGTGCTGCGCTGTTTGAGGTGGCCGGCAGCCTTGCAGCTTGGGTGAGTGCTTAAAAAAACGCGAGTAGCACTGAACCGTCGCAGGGCAACGGCGAAGGTGACAATGTCAAGTCTGCGCCGTTTTTGTTTTGCACAGACTTTGTGAGCACCTGCTAGAGCTAGAACACACCCCAGTATTGTGCAGCATTTGGCTGGTGTCCGGCCACAGAGAGCATCACCATGGCATACCCACAATCTACCTTGGTGAAAGCTAAAGCATGCTGAATGCATTTGACGAGAGGAGCAGCGTATCACGGTACATCACGGTATTAAGCCAGAAGATCCAGATCAATCTCCTGGTTCCACGGGGAAATCATGGAATTTCTGCACTTCCCATATTTTCCCACCGCAAGTTTATCTATCTTTGAGAGGGCTGTTGCGCGGTAGGGCCAGTCATGTTCATGGACTGTCAGTGAACACTTGCAAAAGAAAACCTGACCTTAAGCAGATCAAAACAGCCTCCAACTGATGCAGCTGGATGTGAGCTATGTGGGCACTCGGCGATGTCTGGGGCCAGGCAAGAGCAAACAGGAATCTTCTGGTTTGGTTGGGCATGTCCTGAAGGGGATAGCTGTGTGATGTGGTTTGAAGTTTGAAGGATGTGCGTTCAATTTCATACACACCATATGCGTGTGTATATATATATATATACACATATCATATCAGCGTTTCTTATGTAGTTTCCTGTCCCGTGAGCGATGGCTAGCGTCAAACGCAATGTCTTCATGAGCCAGGTGCGATTGCGACGCGTTGTGGTTTGAGCGGCCGCTTCACGGGGTCCTTGACAAGGTGAAGTCTGATTTTGAAAGAAAATGGGTCATGCATCATGGCAGACATCATAAAACCCAACCAATCCTTTCACTTGAAGATCCTAGGGGCAGCAAGGGGTGCTCTTATGGTTTTTAACGTTTCCACCTGTTTCTGGTATACAGACTGCACATACTGTGCTGCACATATGTTTTTCTGGTAGTCATGATCCCGAGATATCCTGAGGGAAGCGCCTGATAGATGGCGGCACTTGGCCTTTGCTGCCTTGGCCCTCAGCAGGTTGCCCTGTCGTGCGCCGGCTGCTCAGCCCATCGTGATGTCAGACGGCAGATTGATGCAGATTGCAGATGCAGCTGAGGTCGCCTTCGCCGGACCGTCCATTGCCGGACCTTCCACCTTTACCTCCCTTGCCGGGTCAAAACGGTCAAGACGACCAAGACCTTTCGGATGAGGTGGACGAGGAATACGAGGATCAAAGTGATCAAACTTTGGAAACCTCACCATCTGCGCGGCCTTTGCCGCCTTTGTTTGCGGGAAGAACAAGGTTCGGGTCATGGTTGATGGATTACTTGAGCACACAGAGGATGAAAACAGCGTCATTTGGTTTGTCTGCCAATAGTGTACCCCTAAATCCTAACAAAACAGCCACTTGTGAGACACCCAATTTTCATCAATTTTCAGACAGACCCATTTTGATATTCGGGGTGATCTGAACGAGGTTATCTTGCTCCATGATGCTCCATGTTCCTTGATACCGATCTGTCACCATCCGTCATCATTTTGACCAGCCCCTACTGCAGGGCTGAAGCAAGGGAGGATATGGAGGATGCCAATGACAATGGCTACGACACCTACGACAGCTACGACGGCCACGACGGCTACGATAACATGGGGGACGTGCAGCTGAAGGACGTAGAACCGCAGCAGGAGGTGACATCTTTTGCTTTTTGTCGCATGTGTTCCTGACCTGAGATTTCCACTCAGTGATAAAATCACAATCACTCCGAGACTCCAACTGCTTCATATTGCTTTGCGCTTCGGGTTGCCGCAGCTTTGCCGCAGCTTCGAAACTTTAAAGACTTAGATTCTGGTTGGCTGGTCAATGCTGTCACGTTTGTTTTGTTCGAAGGCCGTACCAGTGAAGCTACTGGGACCAACGGCCAAAGCCTTCGTACAAGATAGCAGCCGGCGAGAGAAGTCCAGGGACAGCTCGGATCTGGATTTGTTGGATTCATGGGATGCCATTGATGATGCCATTAATGATGCCATTGATGATGCCATTAATTGTTCAAAACTCGTTCAATGTCATGGCTTGACATTGGTGACAATCTAGAAGCAGGGCGTCGGTGATTTCTGTATCACACCAGTTGTTTCCAAATGTTTGTCGCAATCTTCGACACCTTTTGCAGAAACTTGTGGGGAGTTGTTTTGATTGACGCACATTTGGGCATTTCGCTGGAGGAATTCTACATGCTTCAGCCTGAGGATGATGGACCAAGACCGTTGAGTTGGGAGGAGGTGAATGTTGGTCGATGTTGGTCGATGTTGGTTGTTGAAATGTTTTGAAGTAGCTTGGTATCGTGGAATGTTGGCTGCATCTAGCTCCTAGACGCAAACTTGCCAGCAGCATGACGGCTTAGAGAATCTCTAGGGATCTCTAGGGGCATCTAGGGCCGTAAGTGGAATTGTCCCGTCAGCACAAGTCTTGCTAGTGACCATACAGGAGCTCCCTCTCAGTATTCCCGCCTCCAGGACTCACTGAGACTGACTGAGACTGACTGAGACTCACTGAGACTCACAGTAAGTAAATGTAAGTAACACCTCCTGGACTCTGACCGATTTCAGCTGATTGAACTCAGCATGTAGCCCCTCCATGCCTCAGAGTCAGGCGCGCATCGACTTCTTGCCAGTTGGGGAAACAGTCCGTGGAGTCGTAGAAGAAATCAGGCGCCAGCTGCAAAGCAAGATAGCCTTGGCATGGGCCCACTTGACATGAACGTATTCGAATGAGTTTGAGGAACCATGAGGACTCATGAGGAACCAGAAAAAATACGGAGGATCCTATAGAGAGAGAGAGAGTTGGATCTGTTTGGATCATGACAGAGGCAGCCTTTTCACTTACAACTTGATCAACTTGCAAAGATTCGTCACACTAGGCCCTACGGCAGCTTCATTGGTGGCCTGGCTTGACGGGAGGGGCATCATATGGCATCATAATATCGCATCGTAATCCATGCAACGCTGCAACCCTGAAGGCATGCAAATTTCATCACTTGTCAATAATCAACAACAGTGCTTCATCGAGCCCGACAGATTGTCGCATTTGTTGCTTTTTGAGCATTTAAGGGGCTTGATTTTTTCAGTCTCCAATCAGAAGATTGAGGTTTGGTGGTTTGCGGAATGGCCGTGGGACGATTTGGAGAGGAAGTGATGTTTGATGTCATGTTGGCAGGTCTTCCATCCATACCGCACGTAGACCTAGTCGCAACTCTGTAGCAGATTGTACGGGACAGGGTATCATCCGGCAAATCCTCGAAAACAGACAAGTCAGGGACATTTATTATAGAAATTACATTAGCAAAAGGTACTGTACTGCTGCTTTAGCCAGTTATCCAAATAGGAAAACTTTGGTTGTACCAGCTGCGCGGCCTGCACAGGACTCACAAATACGAGGCTTTTGCGAAGAATTGCAGCTTACTGATGGCTGGGTCTCTCCGCAGGCACGGCCCGGAACATTTCCGATTTTCATGTTGAGGGACCCATGAAGAGGATTGAGAGCTGCCATACATAAGAGGAGAACATGGAGAACGCTCCGTCCAAATTTTTGAACAACGTGTACAGAAGTCGCAGAGAAGAGGGAAGAGATACGCAAATAATCAGCATGTTGAGACATTCGACTCAGAGCAGCGAAGCCGATGGAACGACAGGATGTTGCCTGGATACACCTTTCGTTGTAAACATCGTTTTACATGTTTTACAACTCAGGTTGGACAGCAAGTGGCCGTGAAAATCCTCTCCATCGATGAGATGAAGCGGGTTCACCTTTCCATCAGCCAGGTGTTTCCGGGATTTCCAAGTTGTTGTCGTTCCGACTTGTTGAGAGACTCAATCCATGGCATGAATCAAAGGTGATATCAAAACTGTCGAATGCAAGATGTTCCGGTGTGACAAGTGCGTTTTGGAGTTTGCTCTCAAGGCAAAACTGCCAATACCATCCTCCCCTGCAATAATTGTAAGACAAACGACTTAAAAGGTACTGGCGTACTGGTATACAAAGGTATTATATACATGGTATTAGACATAAATATTCATGTTAGTGATTGTTAGTGACATACTAGTGACATGTTAGAACTCATGGGAAGATATTGGAACTGTATGGAACCTTGAGTTCAAATTATTCAAATTGAAACCATTTGAAATGGCTACCATTTACATATCACGCTACCGTTGCGCCGATGTGACAGGCAACACCTCCGTGGCCTCCTCGCGAGGAACGTGTCCTGCACTCGTGACTTGGGTGCACCAGGGAAGCCATGGAGGCATCGAAAGGTATCAAACGTATCAAGAAACGTAGGAAAAACATTGGAAAACACATGCAAAAACGAGCAGATCCTATAGGAATCACGTGGAATCACGTGGAATCACGATAAATTACGGCTGTTCGTTTTAAAGGATGTTTGTGGATGTTTGAGGTCAGTGCCATTCGCATTTCAAAGCGTTTCAAACCAACTGGTCTTGGACTTGCCCATCTTTGCCAACGCTCCAAGAGATCCCGAAGCTGAGGCCAGAGAAGTATGAAGATCCGAGTTTCTTTCCTCTTCCCTAGCTGTCCTAGCTGGACCGACATTGCCAATGGTTGCAATGCCCGGGAATGGTGAGATGCAAAATAGTTGGTGTTGTCCGTGCAATGCCCGGGAATGGTGAGATGCAAAATAGTTGGTGTTGTCCGTGCAATGCCCGGGAATGGTGAGATGCAAAATAGTTGGTGTTGTCCGTATTTTGCAGTCTGCCCGCTAACCCCAAATTCACAAAATGTTTACTACAATCATCTACAATCCCTGCTTTGAAGGCTGCTATGGTCGCGAAAAAAAGCAATTGGAGTGACGAGTTTGAGTTTGAGGGGCAGGCTGAGAGTCTGAGAGTATACTGGAGGTGCTAGCTGAGCATAGCTGAGCATAGCGCAGGTCACTCCCAACACGTCACAATGTCATCACAATGCAGCTGGTTCTTGGGCCCAAATGGTGGCAGGGTTCCTAATTGGAACAGAAGTCATTTCCATCAATCACTGTTCTCATGGCCGTCGTGGCCGCCTTGCCATCCGGAGACTTGGGAGTATCGCTGAGACGAATGGAATGCGCAGTTCTGAAATGGAGACCCGGATGAAAGCTATGCCAGCGCTGGCAGGCAAACTACCAAGTGAGCAACTGGGTCAGTGCCAAACAATGGAGTTCTATTTTTTTTCAATGTTGGTGTTTCCAGCCACTGTCAGAAAAACATATTATCATATATTATCTGATACTCATAGTCTGTACAAAGTGTCAGCAATGTTGGTGTTACTGAAATTGGTAACAGAGAGATGCCTTAAAGATGCGGACTCTCGGCCTCCACCTGAGGCGTTGTGAAAAGCCTGGTGCATGCCGATCCCTTCGCTCACAGCAATCTGGAAGTAGTTCCCCGGTACAGACCCTTGCCAAACCGATGCTTGGAGCAAGAAGCGATAACAAGCAGCTCCGTATTTGTTGTATTTCTATTTGGTTCACTGTACAAAGCTTGGCCCCACCAAAAAATGGAACTGGTCGAAATCAAAATGGGAGGACGCTGATGCCCAGGATAGCTGCAGTTCCTCTCCTGCGATGTGTGGCTCTATTGAGGTCTGTTCGCTCTGCCAGGCGTTTGGTGGCTCAGAATCGGGTGTACATCAATGGGCAGAGGGCGCAAGATGAACATGCAATGGTTGGCAATGCGGACACTGCGACCTGGCTCCGCTTTGGCCGGTATTTTTGGACCCTATTCAGACATATTGTAAATAGATGTAAATAGGGTCACCCAACAGAAGCTTTCCCCGGGCATATCCCCGTTGTCCAATGGTCAAAGGGTTGTCGTATGTTGTCGCCATGACCAAGGTGACGATCCTACAAAAATCCAGGACCAGCATCACCCACGTGGAGGTTCCACCACGATGCGAGTACTACTTTAAAGTCTACAAACCCTATGGTGTGATTTGTTCGCATGCTCGGGATGTACCTGATGCGCCCATTGTTTCCGACCTCTACCCACCGGGGGCAGAAGAATGCCACAATGTGGGGAGACTGGACCGCAACAGTGAGGCAGGGGGCCACCAATGGGTTCAAAGCTACAGCAGTGTTAAGACGTTGACAGCTCTTTGTGCGGATTGTTCCAGAGAAGAACTATTTTTCTGAATAACTTTCCACTTCAGGGCCTTGTTTTACCTTGTTTTAGGCAGGGGGGTTCTGATTCAGCATACTTCAGCCGCAGGGGCTCCTGCTCTTTACCTCGGATGGCTTCTTCACGAGGTCTGCGTCAATGCCGGAAACGCATGTCGAAAAGGACCGACTCCGGGCGGTACAGGATGTACAGGGCACGGTCAGCGGTTCTCGCCATGCTGACACTGGGACTACCAACTCCTTGCCAAAGTGTTGCTATTTAAAACGACAGGATGGGTCAGGCCATGTCAGATATGTCAGGCAGGCCACACATACTTTAGATAAATCTTATTGACCTGTGTGTGTGCCATTGTGTGCCCATACGTGTTGAGCGGCCCTGTCTTGTCCTCGTGAGCCCGCGCTCCAAAGAAACAGCTGTCCAGCGCTCAGACCACACTTGGTACACCCACGGACATCGAGCTATTATGAGCTATTCATATAGGCACGTCAAAAACCAATCTTTATTGAGCCAGTTTTCATCAGTTTTCCCACTTTAAACATTTTAAACTCCCAGTCTTTGCAGCAATGAAGGAATACATGGCCAAAGTGTCCATGCTGGAAGATGATGAAAAAAGTGTCCCTTTCCAATGCGGTGATCAGATTTTGCGGCGTCTTTTAGATGGCGTCGAAGCCTGCCATTTAAGATGATGGTTGATGGTGAACCCTGCACCAACTAATTACAACTACGAAGAAAAACATGTGACTCTCTATGCAATGTTCTTGCTTCCTTTTTGCTTGAGCTTTTTGGGCGCATTCACAGTCAGAGATGGTGTAAGTACGCCTGAACTGAACCGGATATTAATACATGAGGCATGTGCATACATACGGTATACATACGGTATAAATTGAATATATGAGTAAATGTGCACATAGATTCACATGATTTTATCATCCTGGGTCACACTTGACAAAACATGACAAAACCCCCAATCGTTTCAGTTCCAAATGTTCCAAGGACTTGGGCGATGGCAAAGGCCTCGCCATTGCGCAGTCTGTGGAGGTCATGAGCTGCGCTGCGACTGGGGCGACTCTGCGGCTTGTGGTGTCCTCCGGGCGCTATCACCTGGTGCGTCGGATGTTGGCGGCTGTGGGCCTGGGAGCACAGCTGACAGGAGACATATGAAATCAACATATTCAACATGAATAAACAATGGAAGATATGGAAGAACATATATTATAATATTATAATTATATTTAGATAATATGGATTCGGAATACATATGGAATAAATATACAGTAAATTATGATTAACTCATTGTTGGATTGTTCTTGAATCTCCTTCTGTCCAAAAGAAGATATGAACCAATCAAGCACATTGTCAGCAGGTACAGCTTCACATGGCATTTGTCAAATGATTTCGGATCAGCATGTTTTTTCCCATCCGCCGAGGTTATCGATGTGATCGGTTGCTTCGCACGCGCATCGGTGGCATCGTCGGGATTCCGCGGGCCAAAGCAGAGGAACATCTCGCAGCACCTGCGGAGGAAAGCACGAGAGCCCCAGCGCAGTTGGGAGACCCCATGGATCTGCAACCGGGTCAGTAGCTTGGACGGAAACGAGATGAAACGAGGAAGCGACAAAACATGAAAAAACCTCAAGGGGCTCAACGGGGTTTGGCTGAAGGATGTTGAAGGATGTTGAAGGATGTTGAAGGCAATTCTTCTTTGTGTCTCCTCTTATAACAATAAAGGAATGCACATTGTGAGCACGTTCTTCTTTCTCTGTTTACGTTCTGAAAGCGTCTGAAAGCTGGAAGCAAAAAAGATGATGCAAAACTTGGCATCGACTTTGACCCTGTGATCCCGGTGAAGGGCCTTGACTCACTGCATTCGCTTTCAATTCGCTTTCAATTCGCTTTCAGATCTTTCAGGTACGCCCCTCTTGCGGAAGAAGAGGTGGCAAACGTCTACCTCAAAGGGGTTGAATGGCTTGAGCTTTATCATCCGGTAAAAAACTGCCTGTTGCTATAGCATGATTTCTTTGAAGCTTTGTGTGAATCCAGACCCAGGCAGAAAACGCTAAGCATACCATGTACTTGCGGATGCTTGCTGTATTTGTCAGTTGACGAGCTGGAGATCTGAGCAGTGGTTCCATGTGGTTCCATGAGCTGAAAAAAGCAGCCATGAGACATGGGATGTCATTGGTCATTGATATCATTAGGATAATTTTCAGACCATTTGACGTCCGCCTTTCCTGGCTCCTGTGACAACCTTTTTGGGGTTCCAGCGGAGCAACAGAAGTCGCGCAGCCATGGGGCGACTGGGCTCACGCAAAGAGTAGTGACCTCCAAATGAAAGAAGTGTCAAACACATTTTCATATCACATATTGACAACACTCGCCTAGTAGGTATAGTACAGTATACAGCCTTGTGGTCTCCACATGTTTCCACATGTTTCCTCTTGGAGCATCTTGGAGCCTTGTTTCGTTTTGTTTCGGACATGAGTTCCTGAGGTGATGCCACGACGTTCCAAATTCTCCTCGCTGAGCCGCCGAAGGGAGTTGTCGCAGGTGCTGTGTGCCATCACAGCGCGGAAGAGTGCAACTCCACGGGAGCCAGAGGAGACGCCTTAAGCCCTGTGTGCATCTGTGTGCCCTAATCATGCCTTACTCATGCCCTACTCAGGCCCTGTTCCCCGCACCAAACAGGCAAATGTGTTAATGTGTCTCTTAATGTGTCTCTTAATGTTCGCATCATTTTGAATGCTTTTCAACTGCGGCCCTGTCGGGATGTGTCAGGATGTCTTTGGCATTCTTTGTTCGTGCTGGTTCTGCTTGATTTCTGGCAGGAGTTTTCTAGAGTTCTTCACACCTTTGGCACCGACACATCCAATTGGGAAGAGCGCCGTTGCGTCAGCAGGGATGCTGTGCCTTTGGCAGCCGACAATGACTTCGCAGGGTAGTGTAATGGGCAAGGCGAATTTGCGTCCTTTCTTGTATCCTTGTATATCCTTGATTATCCTTGTATATCCTTGTATATCCTTGTATACACATACGCCCGCACACACACACATATATAATATGTATATACTATGTCATATTATGTCTAAACTTGTTTTCTATAATGGAGGCATTATAGTCTATTGAGGAAGGGGAACAACAGAGTGGCTACCTTGGGTAAATAAGAACGACCATAGACCATATTTGATATTATTTGATATGGATTCCAGAGACATTGCAGTGTTGCCGTGTTGCCAAGGTTCGAGACCCTTTCACATCTCCTTTCAAACACTCCGGTCGCAATCCTGAGGAGGAGCCCGGGCTCTCAGAAGTGATTGCTCACAGCTGATCATAGCTTCGAAATAGCCTTTCTCAATATATATATAATTATATATATATATATCATATGATGATGACGATGATGATGATGATGATGATGGTTATTATTATCATTATCATTATTATCATTATTATTGTTATTAATTATTATAGTTATATATATATATGATGGTCAATGCAGTGGACACAGAATGACCTCAGAATCCATGCAGAGAGCACAAGTTTCCCCGGCTGTGTGAGCCATTTGGAGCCACAGTTGTCACAGCTTCAAGTTTCGCCAAGGTTGGGCATAAACCTGGCCAAGCGCGAGCCGATTGTGGGGCGGAGGCTCTCAAACTCCGAGGTGGAGATTCTCTGCAGTGCCTGTTGCCATTTGGGTTTGTCTGAAAATAGTGTACCCCTACACCCAATGGTTAATGATCATATATGATCATTATCCCTATTAAATGGCTATAATTGGGAATATACCCTATTTTCAGACAAACCCATTTGTTGCCATGGTCCGGAGCCCCACGAAAAACTCCTACGGAATCCCGGACAGGTGCTTGCCCGAGCTCGGCGGGTGATTATTTCGGCCAAGGTGAGGCACTGGGAAGTCGCGGAGTGGTCCAGTCACTTGGGGCCATGGTAGGTACCCACACATACATACATACATACATACATACATACATACATACATACATACATACATACATACATACATACATACATACATACATATATATATAATACACACACACACATATATATATAATTATATATATACACTGTATATACGTGTGCGTGTGTGAAAGGATGTGAAAGGTCTTTCATCAATGGAATAAAGTTTCGGCGAAGTGTTGGGCCTTGAGAGTGCTTGCTTCTCATTGAAATTCAGCTGGTGCAGTTTCTGGACTTCATATGGCATTCGCTCGCGCTTCTATAATGTCTCATCCAGGTTCATCGTGACATGACTTGGGACAAAGTCTTCGCTGCAGCTGACATGGACAAGCCGCACACCTAGCCGACCCATCATTCATATCATTGCACTTTATTGAAAAGATCTAGGAATCTAATGGAATCTAGGTATGTGTTTGACGTGTTTGAAATCAGTGGGGCCTTTTGAATCCTTTTGAAGATACAGCCATGATCAGCCATGATCAGCCATGTGGGCCTTGCAGCACCCAACAGCTTGGCCATTTGCATTTCTTTGGCCCAGGTCCGGATCTCTAGATGTGAAGGAAATGAAGCAGGTGTGTAGTGACCTTCACATAGTATGCCGCGCACTTTGTTTTCTCATTTTTTCTCTAAGAAATAAATCAGGTGTGTCTCATACATTGTCATACAGAGTGAGCGTCGATGGTTGCAGATGCAGGCCATGCGATCGGCTCTGCGAATTTCTCCACAGACCCTGCCGGACTATGACCTGCAGCCTGTTCGAAACAGAACCGCTTCATGACCTTCATATATCTTCATATCCCTTTGTCACGTTTGATAGGTGGGGCAGCTAAGGTGACAAGCATAAATATGACTTAAATATGAACTCCAACGGACTCCAAGCCCGGCCCAACAAAGACTTCAAGACTCTTCAAGGACTAACTGCTTTTGCCTTTCACCAGGACTTTGCAGTTTCTAAAGGATGTTTGCCACGGGCTGAGAATCCTTGAGGCATATGCTGTTCGATGCCATTGACCACGACAATAGCGGCTCTGTTGAATTGATGCTTGGCTGATCTCAGCAGCTTCTCCCTTGAGGGTGAGCAGTTGCAAGCACGTATGATATCCGTATGATATCCGTATGATATCCGTATGATTACATAATATTAGAACATATATTAACATATTATCCAAGACGAATAGCAATCAAATGCAATTAATGGGTGTTGGATGACGAATAGCCCTAGCGGCACATCAGGTAGACAACCAGCAGATAATACCAGCCTGTTCTTTTCTCGAGTCACTACAAGTTGGTCACAAGGGGTTGGACTGCGCATGATGGCGCGCTTCGCATGGTGTTTTGCAAAGTGTGATGCGCTTAGGACGGAGCTTCTTGAGTATGTGTCTCACGGTGCTCGACGGGCCAACGATGCAGAGGAACTCTTCCGGAAGAAAACCGCAGCTCATCGCGGAAGCTACAAGGGCGGGGATATGGCAGGCGTTGCCAAAGTATAATAACGTAAATAAATGAATAAATGAATAAATAGATAAGATTAACTAATGAATTAGATTAGATAAATAAACACACACACACAGATAGATAGATAGATAGATAGATAGATAGATTCTTAGATAGATAGATAGATAGATAGATAGATTCTTAGATTCGATTCGATTAGATTAGATAGATAGATAGATATATATATATAATCACATGGCCCGTCACGCAATCTCCATCCATCTCCCAGATTTGCAGATTGGGATTTCCAAAAGGCAGCAACCAATAGATTCAATAGATGTCACACAAATCCTGAAAGGGTCTTTTGATGGATTGATCCCGGGTGATCGGGGCCGCTCGTCACCTGAAGTGCCCAACGAGCAATGCAATATGTGTAACATATGACAAGCTTTCCAAGTTGTCTCGCAATATAAAATCTACATGAATCTATGTTGACATGTTAATCTGTTAATCTATGACATTTATATAATTTTATATAAACATATTTGAAATTATTCGGCCTCAAAGTAGTGAAGTGCTAAACGGGAATCCAAATCTTCCACCGAGGCCAGGGTCCGGCGGAATCTGAACTTGGCATTCCGGTCCCTTCAGCTGCAGTATGTGGGATGTCGATGTGACAGGTCTGACAGGTGATGAGTTGCTGATTTTGAACAGTTTGGACACACTTTGACAGTTTGGAACCTAAGGAAATACACAGCATCTCATGCTGCCATCAATGAGTTGCCACTTGCCTCCGACGCATTGGGTGTGTGTGTGTGTGCGCGTGGGGCAAGACGTACCAGCATGAGTTTTGTGTGAGCACGTTACAGCCAGCCACAGTCTTGCAAGACCAGTGTACTAAGTCTGACCCGCAGCCACCCCCTTTCCGCCTTTTCCTCAGGTTTGCTAACATAGATGCTGGCGGAGATGGCAAGATCTCCTTGACTCTTGCCAAATGTTGACATATTGTCATCCCTGTCCTAGCTCAAAAGGTGGTCAATGAGATGTACGTCCGTGATAACGGATGCAAATACTAAGACTTACTATGCAAATAATATGCACACAATATTCACATAATATCAAGTCACAAGTCATCCGTACGTGAAGGGCGCTTATCGGATCATCTGGCGCCCTAAGGGTGGAGTTTATGTACTTCGCGCGGATGCATTTAAAGCTCTCGCTCTATGATGTTGGAGATATGGAGCTGAAACAGTTCTACAAAGGCGGGTGCTGGTGGAGCCCTCTGAAGTTTTCCTGCGTTGACAGCTTAGCAGTTTAGATCAGTTTAGATCAGTTTAGCATATTTAGGACTCATACCTGGCTTTGCGTCTTCGTGTCTCACTTGGTTTTAGTTTTGTTGATTCCCGACAGCCGCATTCAAGTTCAATCAACGCATATCGATGTGCTAATTGTTGTCTCGTGTGACATACAGTAATATGTTTCATCACCGCGATACACGCCACCTATTAGTACTATGTATGTTCCTGCAAAAGAGGCACCTCTCAGCTATTCATAGCAGGCATGGATCCGGATGGTGATGGAGTGGATACCGACGAGCTGTTCAAGTTCATCAAGGAACAGCATGCAGAGCTTTCCGGAAGACAGGCTAGAGATGGCTGGAGATGGCTTTAGTGGGTGTGGTAGTGGTTGGCTGGTTGGTATTTGGTTGGTATGGTGTGGTTGCAGGTGTTACAGTTGTTACAATTGTCACAGTTACAGTTGACATTGGTAGATGCAACACCTTGGTGTGTCTCTTTTTGTGCGACTGTGTAACATTTTTTTCGCCCGAACGCAATTGGGCACGTTCATGATTCGTATGATTCGTGCAGAGACGGAACACAGATTAAGCCGATGCTGGAGCCGATGGTTAGATCTGGTCACTCTTCACCACTCTTCACCTTCAGGTCTTCTCCTTCATTGAGAAGGGAGAAGGCCGCAGGAAGGAACCATGGAAGCAACGTAATCCCTTTGAGGGACGCTCAAACACGTCCCCCAGTCCCTTGGCATCAGGGCACGGTTCGCATCGTGTCTCGGGTGATTTGGTTTGCTCATGTTTTCTTATGTTTTGCTTATGTTTGCTTCTTTCACTGATTTCAAGGCTTTCAAGGCATTTCCGCACCAGCACAATGCGCAGAGGAGCAGTAAAAGCAACGCATAGAGCCGGAGCGACCGACAACACGATCATGATTGATCCACACTAATTACACGTCATTACAGTACAATCACCCGGCAAGTGGATCTTGTAAGAACCAGTCCCTTCGATCTACCAGGTTGCTACAACACCAGGCAACAATACTTGAAAAACACAACGATATACGATCATGTTATATAAGATATTATAAGATATCTTTTGCGAAAGTGATCCGACGAGATCCCGAAGAAGGCAAAATGTATTAATTTTGGTTGACCGGCAGGACAACGAGAACGAAACCGACAATCAATTGTGCGAAAGCACGGCAACGTGATCGGCAATGTGCATAGATAAGAATAAGAATACAACATGTATACAACATGAATACGCGATGAAAGGAACATGAATGTGTAATGAACACGCAATGAATACACACTGAGTCACTGAATACATAATTAACAAGATACATATTACATGCAAATGTATACAGTATATATATATATATTATTAATTAAATGCCTATGCAATAAATGCATAATGAATACATGACGAATACATAATGAAGAGGCAAGGCATCCATTGATCATCAGCTCAGCCCAAAGCCTGAGAAAATGAAGAAAGGAAAACGAAAACATACGAACACCATAATATAATTGTTTTGGAGTGCGAACAACTAGACGAGGTTTTTGGGCAACCCCATATGAGGCCTTCTCGTCAAACACGCTTCACAACTTCAGATCTGATCAATAGAGACGCGGGTGCTGCACTGAGGTAGCGTCTTTGTGAACCTGGGGCGAATCAAAGCCCCTCACATGCGACTTGCTATCTCTTGAGAGAGGCCACCATGGCAGCGCGCAATACGTGCAATACATGCAAATCCCGCATGCCGGGCCAACGGTTGAATGGAACCGACTAGAAGGCCATGGGATGTTTGTGCAAAGGTTGGAGGTAAGATGAGACCATATGAGGCGAAATAGGAGAAGATTCAGTTCAGAATGATTCAGAGGTGTTTGTTTGGAGTTCGATGTAAAGCACATCGCCACAATTCCCTCAGCGGGGTCGTGTTTGATGCGTCCAGCTGTGCGATAGAGCGAGCAGAGGCAGATGCCGAAGGCAGTCTGGCCCAACTGCGCTAAAAAAATGCCGAACGGATGCCGAAGGGACTCGGAGTCGCGAAAAAAAATCCGCTATAATCCGCTGCTTCCACGGAAATATGTGCGATGCATGGCCTTTCAAGCCCATGATTCTCTGTACTCGTTTGTACCCACCAGGAACGCGCCATGCTTTCAAAAAATCTTCAAGACGGGCTGTTGTATCAAGACGTATCAGGCATGCAGGATGTTTATTGATGCTTTAATGTGCTTTACAGTTTAGCCATCAATAAGAAATACATATACAATGCATTATATACACGGCGCGGAATATTTTTCAATTTGGAGGACTTGGAAAACTTGAGCGACGCAGCACATGAGTGATTCGTCCTCTCTTATATATGCTCTTCAATTTGTGGCTTGATTGGCTCAAGCGACCCTGCCCAGCATTGTTTTTAAGGGTCCTCCACGTTCTTCTCATAGAATCCTTAAACAAGATGAAAACAGCACATGAGACTTCAACTTGACCTTCTTGATTTGTGTTGGTAGCTGGGAGTCCGGGAATGGATTTTCTCTCGATAGAACAGAACCATGTGTAAAAGCTTCTAGATTCTACATGATTCTATATGATTATCGCGTATCGCTGCTGTTTCTTTTTCACAAATTTTCACCTCCAAGTAGAATTTCATGGCGCATCGGGCATCAGCGAAGGCTTGCCAGCATTGAAGTGCCATTGGCATCCAGTGGCCATGGGCTATGGAAGCCGCAGAGGTAGTCCTGACAGGTGCGGCTGTGTGTGGCACATGTAGAGTTAAGATGGGTCGGATGATGTCGGATGAGTGAAGTGAATGGTGGGAAGAAAATGCGTGATTCTGCGTGATGTGACGCTGACATAGGCTGACTACTATATACCGTGTACTGCATAGTACTGTATGTGTATAGAATTGTATAAATATGGACACGCAGCAGTTGAAGGATGGTGAAGGTCAGATTCATGTCTTTTAGATTCTCGAAAAATCTCGAAATTAGACGATGTGTATTATATATCACAGAAACTCTGATATATAATGCACATCGTATAATTTCGAGAATATCACACATCTCAATCCACAGCGCTTTCCGTTCAACGGCCTAAAAACATCTAAAAACCCTGAAAAGATCCGATGGCAGATACGGCAGGAGAAGGATGGACAGCCGGAGCAGGGCGAGGCAACGGCCTATGAGAAGGCAGTCCCCTGTGAGGAGAGGCACTGAGAAGCTCCAGATCCTCCATGACCATCTGTGACAAGTCGGGGAATGTCGTATTGAATCTCTAAGAATGAAACAATAGGAAACAATAGGAAACAATAGGAAACAATAGGAAACAATAGGAAACAATAGGATATCACACACACTAGACAAGAATGGATCATTATATGATCCGGCAGGAACTGAATCCTGAAACATGCAGATTAGATACGAAACAATGAAATTAACGATGCATCCTACGAATAATGGAAGTTCTCCTGAATGTTCTCCATGCCCTGAATCGACTTCAAAAAGAATAGAATAAGGATCGGGACGTTAATCAACCAAAAGTAATGTCATCGGCGATGTCGTCGGCGAAGATTGTCCAACCAGTATGCATCGGCGACGATGTGTCGGCGATAGTGTATTATAAACCCAAAGGATTGTTCAGATCTCAATCAGATTGCGGCGACCGTGTAAAACTATGTAAAAAGGTTGAAGTTGAATAAGTTGAGGTTGAATAAAACGACATGCCGGTTCTTGGCTTAGCCGGTGGCCATGGACGAAAATGAAAAAATATTGAGCAGGTACGTGGATTGAGCGTCCCCAATCCATATCACTGTGCAACAGATGCGTCTTCGTTGGATGGAGACATCTGAGGCACACTCCATCCCCCTGCTTGTTTGAAAACTGAAATAATACCAAAATACCAGATTCAACAATGCCATGGAAGTTTTACGTCTATACAGACGTTTCACACACACACCCTGCCGCAGCAGGGTCGTTTTTTGTCCGAGGAACAGCTCAGCAGCGGAGGGCCGTCCAGGCTGGTGGTGTCGTCTCAGATGTGTCAGAACGGCTCGATGAGGCCAGTGCGTGAAGTCCCTGGGCCAGTGCCTGCAATTGATCACTAGGAAGGCCACCTGTAGTTGTCGATGATGAGGACGTAGGTGCAGGCCACATGCGGATTGGCCAAAAGGGCAGGCTCGAAGTTGGGCGGCTAGTACCGGGATCGTAGGTGGTTGAGAAGTAGTTGTGGGCTGGGGCTGATTGATGTTGAAGGCGTAGTACGTGTCGTTGCCATTCTGGATTGGGATGCGGAAGTAGGCTCTCCAATAATCAGCGGCACGGAGGGAAAAGGCATGGTCACCGGTGAGAAGGTAAAAATATTGCTTGAGGTGTTTGTGCTGCCGGAGGATGTGCTAGCACTGCTGGTTGAAGTCCTTGATGTACTTGTGCTAGATATGCTTGTGCTTGACGTTGAAGTACTTGAAGTGGAAAGCTGGAGGTGCTTACACTGCTGGAGGAGGTGCTAGCACTGCTGGTTGAGGTGCTGGGCATGGAAGTGCTTGAAGTACTTGTGCTTGCTGTACTTGTGCTCGACGTTGAAGTGCTGGACTTGGAAGTGCTGGATTTGCTCGTATATAAAGTCAGGGTGATTCAAATAAACGTCTTGCCGGTTCTTGGCTTAGCCGGATGCCATATCAGAAAAGGAATCTATCAGGCGGCCTCAGAAGTGCTAGACATGGAAGTGCTTGAGGTGGATGAGCTGGAGGTACTCCTGCTGGTAAAATTTGTTGATGCGCTTGAGGTAGACATTGAAGTTGTGCTAGTGGTGGTTAAAGTGGTGCTGGCAGTGCTTGTGCTCCAACTGCCTGCTGAGGTGCTGGAAGTGCTTGTGCTGCTTGTTGAGGTGTTGGACGTGGAAGCGCTTGAAATACTTGTGCTCGCTATGCTTGTGCTCGACATTGAAGTGCTGGACGTGGAGATGCTGGAGGTGTTTATACTGCGGAGGATGTGCTGGTACTGCTGGTTAAGGTGCTGGACGTGGAAGTGCTTGAAGTACTCGTGCTTGCTGTACTTGTGCTTGACGTTGAAGTGCTGGACGTGAAAGTGCTGGAGGTGCTGGTACTGCGGGAGGATGTGTTGGTACTGCTGGTTGAGGTGCTTGATGTGGAGGAGCTGGAAGTACTTGTGCACGACGTTGAAGAGCCGGACGTGCTTGTACTGCTGGAGAACGTGCTGGTACTGCTGGTTGAGGTGCTTGATCTGGAGGTACTGGAAGTACTTGTGCTTGTACTTGATGTTGAAGTGCTGGACAACTGCTGGTTGAGGTGCTGGAAGCGCTTGTGCTGCTTGTTGGCATGCTGGACGTTGAAGTGCTGGATATAGAAGTGCTGCATGTGGAGGTGCTTGGGCTGGAAGTGCTTGAGGTGTTTGTGCTGATGGAGGATGTTCCGGTACTGCTGGTTGAAGTGCTTGATGCACGTGTGCTTGATGTGTTTGGGCTTGACGTTGAAGTACTTGAAGTGGACAAGCTGGAGGTGTTTATACTGCGGAGGATGTGCTGGTACTGCTGGTTAAGGTACTGGACGTGGAAGTGTTTGAAGTACTCGTGCTTGCTGTACTTGTGCTCGACGTTGAAGTGCTGGAGGTGCTGGTACTGCGGGAGGATGTGTTGGTAGTACTGCTGGCTGAGGTGCTTGATGTGGAGGAGCTGGAAGTACTTGTGCTCGACGTTGAAGTGCCGGATGTGTTTGTACTGCTGGAGGACGTGCTGGTACTGCTGGTTGAGGTGCTGGATGTGGAGGTGCTGGAAGTACTTGTGCTTGGTGTACTCATACTTGATGTTGAAGTGCTGGACATGGAAGTGCTGGAGGTGCTTGTGTTAGGAATGTGCCGGCATGGCTTGTTGAGGTGGTTGAAGTACTTGGCTTGAAGTTGAAGTGCTGGAAGTGAAAGTGCTTGAGGTGCTTGTGCTACTGGAGGATGTGCTAGGACGGCTGGTTGAGGTGCTTGAAGCTTTTGTGCCCAATGTACTTGTGCTCGACGTTGAAGTGCTGGACTTGGAAGTGCCGGATGTGCTCGTATTTAGAGGTCATGGTGATGCAAATAAACGTCTTGCCGGTTCTTGGCTTAGCCGGATGCCATATCAGAAAAGCAATCTATGAGGCGGCCTCCCTCAGAAGTGCTTGAACTGGAAGTGCTTGAGGTGGATGAGCTGGAGGTACTCCTGCTGGTAAACCTTGTTGATGTGCTTGAGGTAGACGTTGAAGTTGTGCTAGTGTTGGTTACAGTGGTGCTGGTAGTGCTTGTGCTCCAACTGCCGGCTGAGGTGTTGAAAGTGCTTGTGCTGCTTGTTGAGGTGCTGGACGAAGTGCTGGGTGTAGAAGTGCTGCTTGTGGGGGTGCTTGGACCAGAAGGGCTTGAGGTGCTTGTGCTGCCGAAGGATGTGCTGGTACTGCCGGTTGAAGTGCTGGACGTGGGAGCGCTTGAAGTACTTGTGCCCGCTGTACTTGTGCCCGACGTTGAAGTGCTGGACGTGGAAGTGCTGGAGGTGCTCGTATTTAGATGCCATGGTGATGCAAATAAACGTCTTGCCGGTTCTTGGCTTAGCCGGATGCCATATCAGAAAAGGAATCTATCAGGCGGCCTCAGAAGTGCTTGAACTGGAAGTGCTTGAGGTGGATGAGCTGGAGGTACTCCTGCTGGTGAAGCTTGTTGATGTGCTTGAG